ACACGTGTAGCTCAAATCAGAGGCTGCTTAGTTTAGGAATAGTTTTCAAGGCCTTTTGATGGAAAATAAAGAAAAGCACCCCCCCACACACACACACTCCCTCACCTCCTCCTCCAGGAACACACCTTCTGTGTGTTTTATCTAACAAAGGAATTTCCAATTTCATGGTGGAGTTTGGAGGGAAAAGTATGACATATTGACTGATATAGATGCACTTTAAAAACCACAAAAGAATGGTGGGGGGAAAAAAGGTTGAGCTTCTGTAGTATTCTGATTGGAGGAAAAATGAAAACAATGAGATTACCAAGAAAAACAGCAACAACACAAAATCTCAAAGGTTTTGGAATGCCTTTAGTTTCCATTTGGCATAAGAATCTTAGGCTTTCTTTGTTCAGCCGGGCGTTATCAGCCACACTCCAATAATAGTTTATTTCATTCTTGCACAGGCAGTTACTGATTCTTTTGTTGCCCAAAGCAGAGAGCAGCACGAGGTAGCCTCACACACACACAGAACAGAATAGACCTTCGTATTGATTTTTCAGAAGAAAGGTAGCATCTCCTGGTTTGTGTTGTTGTGTGTTTTTCCCCCCTTAGCCTAAAAGCCGCCTTTTTTCAGCTGTGAAATTTAATGAGCTCATGAAACACAGCAAGATGGATGCTTTGCTTGTAACTATGTGTACACCTGGCAGGGAGGTTTTCTCTGAGAATCTCTTTGTACCAGTGCAACTGGGATAATTTGCAAGAAATCATTATCTTCGGTTTTGGGTGGTTTACTGTTTTAAAAGCATCTCCAACCCTCCAATGTGATCAGTGGTTGGTTGCTGTTTGGGTGAATGATGAATTGTGCTTTTAAAACCATTTCCTCCAGCTGTAGCTTGACCAAAACTCTGGGTTTAGTGCTGAGAGATCTGCTCCAGATGGGGTTGGTATTATGCAGAAGTCTTGAGGAACTACAGCTAACACCTCAGCCCCTAGTTTTACTCCTCCTACAATAGCTGTTTTCCAAGCTTTCAACGCAAAGGAAGGAGCAATGGGGGGAGGGGCAAGTACATAAAGATCCCAAATCCCTGGACCCTAACGATTGACTCTGGAACGTGCATTAGGAAACGCCGTATACTCTACAGCAATATGGCTAGTATGGCCAGGTTTCAAATTAGTAGGTCCTTGTATACTCTGTAATGAACAATATGGTTTTTACATTCATAAAGGCCCACCGTTAGGGAACCCCCCCCAAACTCTTTCTGTTCAATAAAATCAAGCCCAGGTAAAGTGGAAAGGGCAACCCACAGAATATGGACACCGTTTTTATGCGTTTCCGTTTCATCTTCTTGTTACCGTGATAGAAGCGAGGCTGGCGCTCGCGTTTGCAAGGCGACGCTGGGTTTTCCAAACGGGTTGTAAATATGTATTCCAATTGCTGTACCACTCCAATTTGCTGTTTCCAATGAAAGCCTAACAACTCTTCTGTGTGACAATAATTCAGGTCATTTACATGCAAAGTCTTAAATGGCAAAAATGCTCCTTCCAATTTACATCACAGAGTGGCCCCCAACAGAACAATGGCTTCCTCAATGGGCCTTAATGCGGGCGTGAGGCATACTGAGATGTTTCTTTTTTTCAAAACCGCCTGTGCACACTTTGCAAATATTAACGAATTAATCGAATTCGAAATACAATAAAACAGAGAAATGCTTCCGGGGCTAGGAGTCTTCCTTGCTGTTGCAATAATATTAGTATCAGCAGAGGCTGATCAAAAGAGAATGAGCCTTTTTTTAAGAGGTTGGGATGGCATTTTCTTCCCTCTCCAGATCCTTCCATTTTGTCCTATTTCCACTGTAAGCACAATTAGCTGCATGGCGGGGATCAGCGCCCTTTTTAAAAAAAAAATAAAAAAATCAAAACCCAAAACCACAAAAAACCAAAAGCGCTTCAATGGAGTGGATGTCTGAACAACTCAGGAAGCAGGGTTTGGTTAAATGGCTTATCTGCTCTGGACTGGAAGTCTTCACCGCCTCCCTGTCTGAGGTCTAGCCAGCGCTCATCTCTGTGGCCTTTAGCGGGTTTACATATGTATCTTTGTATTCTGGAGGCTAGACCAGCTGCTGTGTGCACATTTCGCGTTGGATACATTTCTACACCATCACCCCCTTCGAAATGTAAAGACTTAACCATTACATCTTGTTTACTCAATATCTTTCCCCATTAGAAAGAAAACAAAAAATAGCACCACACCAAAACCCCTACAGGAACTGAATATGCCATGTTTCAATGTGTGTGTTTTTTTTCTAGCAAAGCAAAACGTGTGTCTTTTACACCAGGGCTTTCTCCCCACCCCAGGGGGTGTCTTCCATTCTTTTGTGGCTCCGTTTAAGGCGAAAAGGGCTCCAAACCACTAACTAACTCCGAGAGCCCCTTCTTCCTCCTGCAGGGAGAATGTCGGCTTCCCTTGCTCCGAAGATAGCGTCCTCTCTTCTCACGTAACTCGCCACCATTCCGAGGAGAGCAAACCAGCACCTTGGCTTCAAGACCCCAGGTGGAAGCGCCCGGGCTTCCCAACCATCTCTGGCGAGGCCTTGCTTCCCTCCACTCGAGTAAGTGGCGGCTGGGGGCCTTGGAAAGGGCCGGGCGCGCGCCTCCATG